GTTTTCTTAGAGGAAAGTCCAAGGAAGATTGTCAGTCAGAATTGGACAAAATTGAGGTATAATATATTCATCTTAATGAGTCAATTTATTTTTTATATGTTCCGACCCAGATTTGAGATAAACAGTTTTGATCATCTTAACTCATCTTTTTTATCAGGTTGCTGTAACAGAAGCAAGAGCTGAAGCAACAGCTTCTGCTGCAACCAATAAACTTAGCGAGCTCTTCAGATCGCCAGTACATAGAAAGTGTTTGGCTCTATCATTTGGACTGGTTACTGCTCAGCAATTTGCTGGTATCAACGTCGTACTTTTTTATACTGAAAGCTTATTCGCCCAAACCGGAATCTCGATGCTCCCGGAACATGCTGCCATTTTACTAGGTAATAAGAACTTCCTATTTTTAATTTAAATTTTTCCATCATTATCAAGATTGCTAAAGGTAGAGAAATTTATTCATTAAAATATATTACTCTATCAAATTTAGTGATAATCGTGCTTTTACAGGTTCATTGCAAGTTTTATCTAGTTTTACTGCTCCCTTATTTGTCGATAAATTAGGACGAAAAGTCATGTTATTGATATCAGGAGTTGGCTTGATAGTCAGTTTGGTAAGTCTTCATTAATATATTTTTTAATCATTTTTAACAATGTTGTTCAATTAATTTTTATTTCAGTCATCTTTAGGTATTTACTTCAAATTAGACAGCATAAAATATGACCAGATTGACAGTCTTGGCTGGTTACCAATAACTAGTTTACTCTTATACATAGTAGTGTTTTGCATGGGTAAGTGTTTTAAACGAATTTTTTGTAATTAAGTAGCAAAAGCTTTGGTCTTGCATGTCAAGGTTGCAGATTCAACTCTGACTCAGACAACCTGATATCAAGCAGTAGTGATATTGGTATTTCTATGGAAATATAGATAGCAACATGTAAAAGCTTTGGCCTTGCATGTCAAGATTCCAGATTCAACTCTGACTCAGACAACCTGATATCAAGCAGTAGTGATATTGGTATTTCTATGGAAATATAGATAGCAACATGTAAAAGCTTTGGCCTTGCAATGCAAGATTAGATTTAACTCTGACTCAGACAACCTGATATCAAGCAGTAGTGATATTGGTATTTCTATGGAAATAGAGATAGCAACATGTTTCCAAGTAAAAATATCCCCTGCAAGACATTGATACAAAAATTATCAGCCTTTACATCTGCTTGGGTTGCTATCTATAAATCTGGCGTAGTTAATTAAGTCATATGATCACAAAAGCTTTTAGGACCTTCAAGTTAATCTATTCTAATAATAATAAAAAAGAGTTTCTACAAATCCTCATCCCTCTCTTATAGGTTTCGGTCCTCTCCCATGGGCAGTAATGGGAGAACTATTTTCGCCCCAGATAAAGGCAACAGCATCATCGATGACAGCATCCTTCTGCTGGTTCCTTACCTTCCTGGTGACAAAATATTTCGAAACACTTTGTCAGGCAATTGGAACGCATGTCGTGTTTTGGTTATTTGCTGCCTGTTGCCTATTGGCATGTATATTTGTACATTTCTGCTTGCCGGAAACCAAAGGTTTGTCTTTAAGACAAATTCAACTTCAGTTGAATGGTGGTAGCTCGGAAGAAAGTAGTGTGAATGTCTATGCGGAAGAACAAGCGTGATAATAAAATAATCTAATGATTATAATAAAAACAAATAATTTTAAGATGGAATTTGCAGGTTCAATAAGCAAACACCAATGGTGACTGCCAATAAAGCGTTTTTTATCGGTGAAGATTTTATACGATGATTTATGTTACTTTGTTAGGTAGTAATACAGTGTAAGAGAGCCCAAGGATTTTAATCATAATAAATTATTTCTTTATTTGTTTTCAAGAGCTTGAAATAGCCTAATCTTTAATTCTGTTTATGGGAGTTTCTTTACCAGTAGTGGAGCAATATTAAACAAAATAATATTGGTGACAATATTTAGCACCCTATACTCAAAAATTGTATCCACTAGGAAAAAAATCAATACCAGTTTAATATTAAATATTTACAAGTTCAAATATTACTGAAAGTTTGCTATTCTCAAGCATAGTACAAATTACAAAGTAAAATTAGAAAAAAAATTCTGAAGTTGCGATTACTAATCGAAATAACTTTTTGCACGATTTTAAAAATAATTTATAGGCTTTTTAAACCTTTCGAGAGGAGCTAAACATTATATTCATAGTGAATAATGAAAAAAATATTTTTAAAATCCAAAAAATCAATCTAAATTATAAAATTTTTACTTGCTACTTAAATCTACGATTGCACGTATTTTTTAAATATATAATATACAATTATATTGAAACGCATCTTCAAATTTTAAGATCTGTGATCTTTGAATATTTTAAATACGCTCAAATATTTGAGTTATTTGGTAAATACTCAACTAATATCAAATTAATAGTATTAAATAAGAATCATAGATACAAACTCGCTCTACTTGTTATAAATAAAATTTTATGATCCAAAATATTGCTTCAAATAGTTACATCGATTTTATACATTATATTCATTATGGTTTATCCAAATTTATTTTAGGAAAACGCAAAGTTTAAGCAATATTTTTAAAATATTTATCATTGGTTTATAGAATATTTTTAGTAGCTCTTATGAGCTTTTAAAATTTGAAAATTTTGTATACACGCACAATATATATTCGTACGATATTAAGATTACTATAAGTTATTTATATTAAGTGCCTATATTTAGATTATGTGAAAAAATTTTACTTATAAAGTTAAAAATATGATTATGCCGATACTAATTTTTACATATAGAAATAGATACAAAAGTATAGTAATTTCTGTTTTTAAAATGTTAATAATATCAATTTATTAATATCAAACTCATACGATTAAAATTGTAATGGCTATTGTAGTTAATCTAAAATAACGCCAGTGCTTCCAAATAACTTCATTCTCAGGCATTTTAAATTAAATAAATATATATAAGGCTAGTAGTAATTACTTTTTAATATTTATATACAAATAGTTTTAAAATAAAATATGAAATTAATATTTGTGGCTTTCATTTTAATCTATTACGATAAGAATTGCGTTGCAGAATTTTTTTTTGGAATCGTTTCATTGCATTTTAATTTAATTTTGAGAGAGAAGCTTGCCTTATTTTTTATAAAACTTATTTTAAATTTTAAATAATGAGATGGACTAGGCGTAGGTAATAAAAAAAACTTAATTTTAGAGATATTTTGCATCACATATAACAAATAAAAAAAATATAATACATCAGTTAGTTGTATTATATTTATAATATAAATTATACAATTAACGGCACAAAGGCACGGTAAAATATTCTTCTGATTTAGACATTCTTCATTAAATCAAGATTTATACTATGATGTAACATTATAATCTAATGATATTCCGATACGAAAGATCTCTATTCACTCGACACGACGACTAATCACAATCGGTCCGTATAGAAATGACTTCATCGAGAGCCAATGACGTACAGTTCGGGCGTAACGCTACTTCCGTTGCATTTTCATAGATTTACTCTCCAGTCGCGCCTAAAGAAGATTTACTTAAAAATTTTGCTAATATTTGCAAATTTTAAAGGAATGGATGAGCAGATCATCGGGCAAAACCGAAAGCGGGGCTTTTAGTCAGTATTATTAATTATTGGAAACATATTAAAAATTTATACTTGTTTCTAACTTTTTATATTTCTGAATATTTATACTATCTATGATTCAAGATTTGTACTACGATGTAACCTTAAAATCCAATGACGTTCCAATCTCCTCGTACGTCGGTACGCATACAACGAAAGATCTCTATTCTCTCGACACAACGACTAATCACAATCGACCCGTATAGGAATGATTTCATCGGAGCGAATGATGAACAGTTCCGACGTAACGCAACTTCCGTTGCATTTTCACAAATTTACTCTCCAGTTACGCATAAAGAAATTTTGCTTCAAAAATTTTGCAAATATTTGCTCATTTTAAAGGAACGGATCGGCAGATCATCGCGCAAAACCGAAAGCGGAGCTTTTAGTCAGTATTATTAATTATTAGAAACATATTAAAAATTTATACTTGTTTCTAACTTTTTATACTTCTGAATATTTATACTTGTTTATCTATGATTCAACACTTGTACTACGATGTAACTTTAAAATCCAATGATATTCCGATCCTCGTTGATACGTCGGTACGCATACAACGAAAGATCTCTATTCACTCGGCACGACGACTAATCACAATCGACCCGTATAGAAATGATTTCATCGAGAGCGAATGACGCAAAGTTCGGGCGTAACGCAACTTCCGTTGCATTTTCGCAAATTTACTCCCTAGTCGCGAGAAAAAGTTTTACTTAAAAATTTTTGCAAATATTTGTTAATCAGTAGATCGTCCGTAAAACTGATCAACGCAAAGGTTCTAAATTTATGAAATCGGTTTAGCAGTTTTGGAAAAAATGTGTGAAAGCGGAGCTTTTAGTTAATATTATTAATTATTATAAATATATTATATTTCAATCATTTATACTTGTTTCTAACTTCTTATACTTCTAAATAATTATACTTGTTTATCTATGATTCTTGTCCAGGATTATGTCCGACATATCCAGGCTGACATATCAAGCATGGCATACGGCATACGTATTGCTTTCGTTATATAAAAAACATACATACCCACAATACTTTTTTTAATTTTCCTCATTTTTGTGATTAGTAAACATAAAATTAGCAAATTAGGTTTTTTTTGTGAACTTAAACTCTTTTCGAAACGTTAATAATACGCATATCTTAAGATAGTAAAAATTTGAATATTAGTGAAAATCTTAAATCTAATAGACAGATCCGAGAACACGATTTCATTATATGTAAGTATCCATAAAATCAATCACAATATGTTAAAAAAATATAATTCTTTTTAAATCCAATCAAGTAAATGACTTTAATAAACTGCTATTCTATTCTAGTTCTATTATTACTTACGTCCAGTCTTTTTTGACAAAATCTGCAGCTTTTTCACCAATCATATAGACTATTGAAGTGGTGTGTCCAGTAGGAGGAATCGGAATTATTGAAGCATCAACCACTCTAAGACCTTGGATCCCATAAGGTTTCAAAGAAGTTGGATCCACAACGCTCTTGGGGTCACTGACTGGACCCATCCGGCAAGTACCTATCTATATATAATAATATAATTTAAAAATAAAATACATTTAATTTATTGCTATTTACAAAGGTCAACAAACTATGCAAAACATATTTAAAAATAGATTACCGTTTTGAAAAGGTTTTGCGAAGAAATTTATTTTTATTTGATCTAAGGAAAACAATTTGATATGATTGACATTAACTTTTATTGTTTTTGTTATCTGCTATAATTTACCTGATGATCCGCAGACCTAGTATTGCGCAAAAAGCATCTAAAATATGCATCTGACTCCTTTTCCAAGTGATCACATTCTGCATCAGGAGGAAGATATAAAGTTGCATTGAAGGTAGATAATGCTTTAGTGCGAGTAAAGGCCACTGCCTAGAACATTTAAACAAAACGTCAGATATATACAATGAAAAGACTACCAAAAATTATTTTTCAGAAATTTTTTCATCATAACTATTAATTTTAGACTAAAATTTTTAGTATAGTATGTTTAGTAGCTATTCTACTCTTATCATCAAATATATTATTTTATCTTGTTTTAATTACCAATTTTAGTCCCTCTACTAAAGTTTCCAGGTCCTCAGATTCTTCAAAGCAATTTGGATTAATTTTTGGAGGATCTGTAGGGTCTTGACTATATAGTTCAACATCTCCTTCACTCTTTGGATGCATCAACATAACAGTAGCATAAAATGAATCTCTTTTTTTCTGTCTATCTATATCAACGTACAAATTAGAAATATGAAAAAGTATTTCGATATCTGGAAGATCAATGTTATATTTTTTTGTTTTCAACGATCCTACAGTGATCATTCCTTCAGCAAGTGTGAGTGGTCCTATGCCATTTTCAAAATAGTCTGTGACATGTTCATTAGATGCTAAAACTCCGATGTCTACTTCCACTTCACCATTAATATCGAACCTTATATCAATCCCAAGGTGATCTTTTAATCCTTTGCCTACAGGTAAATCTTTTATCACTTGTATTCCTTTGTCTTCCAGATGTTTTTTTGGTCCTATGCCAGATAACATTAGGATTTTCGGTGAGTTCAATGCACCAGCGCTAAGTATAACTTCTTTACTGACATAGACAGTATAATCTTTATTATTTTTAGTGAAATAGACACCATATGCCGTTTTGTTCAAGGGATCAATTAAAATATTCTTGACAAATGCCCCAGTGGCGATTGACAAATTCTTTCTGGAAGCAACAGGCTTTAAAAAAGCTTTATTTGCACTGCATCTACTACCATCCCTGAGAAAACTTTGAGGACGTATCATACCAGTTTGATTGGCACCGTTATTATCGTTTTCTTCATACCCTAACTCTCTTCCTGCTTCTATCAATGCTTCGTCCAACGGTGTTTCAAATTTATTGGAATCTATGGTCAAATACCCACCTGTACTATGGTAAGGTGAACTCTGTAGATTTTCAACGTGCATGTCTTCAGATTTCTTAAAATATTCCAATACATTATTGTAATCCCATCCTATATTTCCCAAATCCTGCCATGTATCATAATCATATTTGTTTCCTCGGGCATACAGCATTCCATTTATTACACTTGTTCCTCCTAAGGCTTTCCCTCTAGGGTAAGAGCAGTAGCCTTGTTCGTCCAAACAACATCGGGTTTGTGGTTCAGTTTTATAATTCCAATCATATTTAGATCTCTGCAACACACTAGCAAGTAGAGGCACATCAGTCAGAGGACTTTCTTGTCCACCAGCTTCCAAAAGCAGAATTTTCCAGTCCTGAATTTCCGACAACCTGTTGGCCATAACTGAACCGCCTGGTCCGCTTCCAATAATAATGAAGTCGTAGATATCATCAAATTCTTCTTTCAAGGGGATAGAATATTGGTCAGCTACTTGTTCAAAATATTCACTCAGAAGAGTTGCAGCATAATTGAATCTTCTGGAGATAAATTTCTATCAAGTTTTTCTTTAAGGCGAATAAATGGATCGTCTGATCCTGATTGCTCTTTCAACTTGAAACTATAAATACAGACAATCAAGCTTAACAAAATCAAAACTTTATCATTTTGAATAGTTTTTTTTATTTTCATGACTGCTGTATTTTATTACTGATATTGGTTGCACAGGACTAGAATAGTATCACTTGTGGTCATGCTATTTATATGCCATTTCATTTAATTATTTCATACAACATATTGAAAAACATTCACTTGCAATTTACGTACATATGTGTGGCAATTTACGTACATAAATTTTGTGGAACTACTAAATATTTCATAAAAAGTGTAGCTTGACAATTTACATGAATTATTTATTCGAAAATATTGAAACAACACCAGTAAAATATTCTTAACAAAGTCCATTACTTATCTATAACACTTCGAAGAATGTTCAAAATGCTTGACTAATTATATACTTATTTCATCATTTTGATTAAAAATCGACGAAGTGACATAGGTTTAAACAAAATGTTTTGGTTAGAAAATTTTAATATTTTTTTAGAGAAATATTTGAATATTTTTATATTCAATGTATGAAACTTAATGGTCAGTGAAAAAATGGCAAAAAAGAATTTTTCACGACTTATAGCAAATTATGGTTACAAATTTGAAAAAAACGTTTTTCAAACGTTTTAATTCGAATATATGCACGTTGCATTTAAAATATATTTTCAAAAATATATTTCCAAAGCTGTATAGAATGCAATTTGCATTAATTATGATAATATT